CCTAGCGGGGAGACGGCTACCATTCGAAGCCTAGAAGTGGACGGCGAGCCGAGCGACTGGGCCGTGGCTGGTCAGAACGTGGTTCTCAATCTGGCGAATATCGATCCTATTCACCTTCGGTCTGGCGATGTTATTTGCCGCCCATCAGCACCCATCGCGAATATCACCTCTTTCACAGCAAAGGTGCTAGCGTTCGACCATCTAATGCCTAGCATGGTAGATATCCACCGAGGACGACTTCACGTTCCGGGACGGATCAGCCGCTTGGTCGCGACGCTCGATAAGGGATCTGGCTCGGTAATCAAGAAGAAGCCTAAGATTGTTCCGCCTGGTTCTGTGGCACGCATTGTGGTCGAGATGGACCAGGCAGTGCCTCTGGAAGCACCTACGAGGATTGTTCTACGATCAGGAGGCGACACGGTGGCTGCTGGCTTGCTCGAATGAAACCGAGTACATTGATAGAGGTAGTCTTAAGTATATAGATACCACTAGAATATATGACTAGGGATTGCATATTCTCTTGGAAATCGCTTTGTTGCTTTGATGTTTTCCAAATTGCCACCAAGTATTGGACTTGTTCCGTAGTGAGAAAGGCATACGATGCAATTCCTAGTATTGTTCATTCTCGAATCTGATAGCTTGACTCTTTGGGACTAGTTACAGAGTTACTCTGTAGGGCTACGAATATAAGCCTGTAAGGCTAAGATAATGACCAGCTGTCCACTTGGCATGCAATACGCAGAGTATGATTATATCCTTCAGTCCGAGATTGGGTGTACTGTTCTGAGTTTGACTCAATAATAGGTATTGCCAATGCCGTAACCATTGGATATTGTCCACGTATCCACAACTGCCAATTGAGTGAAGCAAAAGTGTCCTCTTCTAGCAATTTCGATCGACTGCTCCACATTTCCCTGGCATTGAGCCCTGATTTCCCCTTTGGGAATCGCCGTGAATGAACGCCTCGGGATTTGGCCGGCAGAAATCGGGCGGTGAAGGACCCTGCTGACTCAGTTCAGCCTGGGAGACCTGCAGCAGCCAATCACAGGGTGAGAAGTAACCTTAAATGCAACTCCTGCGAAAAGGCCAGCATGGCCGCTGCGATCTCTTTGCCGCCGCCAACCCATACAAGAAGAACAAAGCTGGCCGTAGCTTCCTGGACATTCTTCTTCCTCTTCTTTCTTCAACTCGTCCCTTCGACAACCCCGTCGTCTCTCACTTGTTTCTCCTTTTCCTCCTAACCCTTGATTGTCTTGTCATTCTTCCTTTACATTGTAAGGAAGTGTGTTTACTGGGACTTGGGGATTTTGGAACGTGTTTTGGGAGATAGACACGTATCCTCAACCGCTTGGATTGTGACATCTTGACAGACTGTACACTTCTTTATCAGTCTTATCGTAAAGGAGTTCCTTTTTACACCTCACATACTCACCATGTCGCGACTATCGAGTCGCAATGGCGCGGCCAAGCCGTTCACTGCTTGGACCACTGTCTTCTACCTCCTCCTTGTCTTCATTGCGCCACTGGCCTTTTTCGGAACAGCACACGCTGAGGAAGACTCAGTACAGGACAACTATGGCACTGGTACGTCTTGGATATTGTTTTTCTGAAGACATGAAGTTCTCGTGCTAATTCGTGCTGCCAACAGTCATCGGTATCGATCTGGGAACAACATACTCGTGTGTCGGTGTGATGCAGAACGGAAAGGTTGAAATCATCGCCAACGACCAAGGAAACCGTATCACTCCTTCCTATGTCGCCTTCACTGATGAAGAGCGTCTGGTTGGTGACGCCGCCAAGAACCAATACGCCGCGAACCCTACCCGGACCATCTTTGACATCAAGTGAGTTTTGCCCGTCGTGTTTTGGATACCCGAAGAGTTTGTGCTAACCTCTGCCAGGCGTCTGATTGGACGCAAGTTCGATGACAGGGACGTTCAGAAGGACGCCAAGAACTTCCCCTTCAAGGTTGTTAACAAGGATGGCAAGCCTGTCGTCAAGGTCGAAGTCAACAAGTCCCCCAAGATCTTCACCCCCGAGGAGGTTTCCGCCATGGTTCTTGGAAAGATGAAGGAGATCGCTGAGGGCTACCTCGGAAAGAAGGTCACCCACGCCGTTGTCACTGTTCCCGCCTACTTCAACGACGCCCAGAGACAGGCTACCAAGGACGCCGGTACCATTGCCGGCCTGAACGTTCTCCGTGTCGTCAACGAGCCCACCGCCGCCGCTATCGCCTACGGTCTGGACAAGACTGGTGATGAGCGTATGGTAATCGTGTACGATCTTGGTGGTGGTACTTTCGATGTCTCCCTTCTGTCTATCGACAACGGCGTCTTCGAGGTCCTGGCTACTGCCGGTGACACTCACCTTGGTGGTGAGGACTTTGACCACCGCGTTATGGACTACTTCGTCAAGCAATACAACAAGAAGCACAACGTTGATGTCTCCAAGGACCTCAAGGCCATGGGTAAGCTCAAGCGCGAAGTCGAGAAGGCCAAGCGTACTCTGTCTTCCCAAATGTCCACTCGCATTGAAATCGAATCCTTCCACAACGGCGAGGACTTCTCGGAGACTCTCACTCGCGCCAAGTTCGAAGAACTCAACATGGATCTGTTCAAGAAGACTCTGAAGCCCGTCGAGCAGGTGCTCAAGGACGCCAAGGTCAAGAAGTCTGATGTCAACGACATTGTTCTGGTCGGTGGTTCCACTCGTATTCCCAAGGTCCAGGCTCTCCTTGAGGAGTTCTTTGGCGGCAAGAAGGCCTCCAAGGGTATCAACCCCGATGAGGCTGTCGCTTTCGGTGCTGCCGTTCAGGGTGGTGTCCTCTCTGGTGAGGAAGGTACCGGCGATGTCGTTCTCATGGACGTCAACCCTCTTACCCTGGGTATTGAGACCACCGGTGGTGTCATGACCAAGCTCATTCCCCGCAACACCGTCATTCCTACCCGCAAGTCTCAGATCTTCTCGACTGCCGCTGACAACCAGCCCACCGTCTTGATCCAAGTTTGTAAGTGTTTGCCATTGTACTTGATTGAAGATATGGAGATATACTGACTTATTTCAGATGAGGGAGAACGTTCTCTGACCAAGGACAACAACCTTCTCGGCAAGTTCGAGTTGACGGGTATCCCTCCCGCTCCTCGTGGCGTGCCTCAGATTGAGGTCTCCTTCGACCTGGATGCCAACGGTATCCTGAAGGTTAGCGCCAGCGACAAGGGTACCGGCAAGGCCGAATCCATTACCATTACCAACGACAAGGGTCGTCTGTCCCAAGAAGAGATCGACCGCATGGTCGCGGAGGCTGAGGAATTCGCCGAGGAGGACAAGGCTATCAAGGCCAAGATTGAGGCTCGCAACTCTCTGGAGAACTATGCCTTCAGCCTGAAGAACCAGGTTAACGACGAGAACGGTCTTGGTGGCCAGATCGATGAGGATGACAAGCAGACTATCTTGGATGCTGTCAAGGAGGTGACCGACTGGCTGGAGGACAACGCCGCCACTGCCACCACCGAGGACTTTGAGGAGCAGAAGGAGCAACTGTCCAATGTGGCCTACCCCATCACCAGCAAGCTGTATGGCTCTGCACCGGCGGATGAGGAGGAGGAGCCCAGCGGACATGACGAACTGTAAAATTACTTTAGAGGGATTTACGGAGTTTTGATATGTTAATTGATTCATTATGGATTTTCCTTTGGGAATAAGCCAGAGTCGCCTCGATATATGATAGAGGCCAAATACATGATACCTCATTGATATGGTACCTTCTTTTCGCCGAGACTATTCACGTACTGTACAAAGCAGTTGCTCAATCGAGCGCAACAAATCCCGTACTTGCTTATGTAGAGTACGCCAACAGCGTGATGATATCCAGAGTTCCAGACAGCTCAAGCGCTGTTCTGGATGTAATCCCGGACCACCTCTAGAACGACCTGGTGATCGTGCTCCTGCTTCAACCCACTCACAACAATGACGCCCACCACACCATCAACGCTCCTGACCCGAACAGGGAACGCACCGCCGTGGATGGCATAGTCATCCGCAGCACCCCCGCTCGAGCTCTTGAGCGCGAACTTCTTCACAAACGCCTCCTCCACCTCGGACGCGCTGAGCCCCGTGCTCGCCAGCATCTTATTCCGCAGCAACCAGCTGGACACGCCCCACCGCAGCACGGTATTCCGCTTCCGCCTCACCCAGACCTCATTGTCCGCGACGGTGCCCGGTTCCGTCGCGCACTGGAAGATAACGTGTGGCTCGGAGCCGCCAGTTAGAGAGATGGAGATCAGGGCTGGTTTGCGCTGGTCGGCGGGGAGGGAGAGGATGCGGTCGCGGAGGGCGAGGCCGAGGGACCAGGCGGTTGCGGAAGTGAAGGAGGGGAAGATTACTGCTGTGGAGGATTCTTGGGCCGCGAGCTCGCGGATCTGGTATTTCTCGTTAGCGATTGGGGAGGGGTTGAGGGTTGCGGGGCTGGCGTACGTCTGTGCTGGTTGGGCCGAGTGGTTTGTCCATTTTGAGGGGTTTACGTGTGTTAGGAGGAAGGTGGGAAGTGGGAGGAAGAGAAGAGAAGATGGAGAATGAAGGGTAGGTATATATGCTGATGGTTCGGTGAGTCTATGGAGAATCTATGTGGTTTCGATTTGTCGCATATGGAAGGGATCTGAAATTAGGGAAGGTCCTCCCGCGGCGGGGTCTTCATGACGTCGTCGGCGGAAGGGAGATAGTTGGCCGGGAAGAGAGTGAGCATCGATATCTTCACTTGAGGATAAAATATCTGTTAAAGAGTATATGGAGATTTCAGTTTGAAATTTCAGTATACAGAGGATAGAAGTGCTTTAAAGTATGCTGGTAGAACCCACCAGTCTGTCCGGCTGCCGGCATGCATGGACAGCGCGGCTTCCCCTCATCTGCAGACTGCAGGTGCTTGATCATCCTGTGACAACACGAACTCCACTTTCATGACATCTCCATCAATTTGATAGTAGAGGATACGGAATACTGATCGGATGCGCCGACAACTCACCAAAAGAGCATGTGATGAGTGTATATCTCGCAAGGTGAAGTGTAGCGGCTCCTCGCCTTGCGATACTTGCCTGAAGACGTCCAAGGAGGCGGGCTGCACGTACCTCAAGCCACCAGGACGGAGGGGACCAAAAGCCAGGCGATATAGCAGCAAGAGCAGGTCCGCCAGTGATGGATCGATTGGCCATGCTCATACGGAGGAAGCTGCTGCAAGAACCCAGTCGGTCGAGAACCGTCCGGTAATTCATGCTGATGTTCATGCTGATACTGAGGGGGACGAGTCCCTGTCTGCATCCGACTGGAGAAAGGAGACATGCATTCCCAAGGCGATACTGGTCTATATTGTGCGGCTGTACCAGACTTTCTCGTACAGTGTTTGGCCGGTGGTCGACGCAGATGCGGTTTTGCAACAGCTGGAGAACGGCACCTGCGATGCGCAGACACTTTGCTTAGTGCTGGCGCTGTGTGCCGCGACGATGGCACAGTTGCAGCTTGCTCCCATGGCTGGCGATGATGGCCACATGGTGGACAGTGGCCTGCTCAAATTGGAGTGTATGCGGCTTCGGGAGCGGAGTGATTACAGAGAGAACCTCGACGTCAAGGGTGTACTTGTTTCATTCTTCCTGCATGTGTATCATGCAAAGATTAACCAACGAAAGTCAGCCATGCTCTTTATACAGGAGGCCGTCGCGAGCGCGAGACTATTAGGATTGGACACGAACGAACGGAACACTTTCGTTACGGATGGTGTTGTTGCAAACGAGGAGATTGTGTTTCTGTTGCTGTGGGTGTCTGAGAGGTAGGTGACCATAGACCTGTAAGCACACTGAGCAGTTTGCGGGTACTGATACAGCATAGAGGATATGCTATGCATCTTGGCGTGAGGCCTTCATACAGTGATCCAGTTCAAGTCCCAGATGCAGCACAACTGGCAATGAACCCTCATGCGTGGGGGTTACTCGAGCTTTTCAGTCTCTTTGTCACATTCGACAAGATTCGGGCACAACGATGCCGTAGTGGCAGTCTGGCTCAAGCTCTATCTCCAGCTAGTCTAGCTGAAACCGAAGCGGCACTGTCGCTCCTAGCCTTTAACTCGGACCATCAGGCATCCACACGACTGGCGGATTGTTATATCACCAGAGAATGGATGAGGACAATTGTCTGGCAGGAAGCACTATCTCGGCATCTGCTATCCTCGACAGCTACCACCGAGGTGATGACCTTTCGATTCCCTGTAATTGTCGGGCGTGACCTGTTGATGTCCCTCCATGGACTGTCTGAAACAGACTTGCTGCCTTTGGGCCGGGACCAGGTGAGTCTCATGCAGACTACTGCAAGATATTGTCGAAACGAGGGAATGACGCTGGATATAGCTACTGAAATGTTTTGAGGTTGCCAACTCGCTGGCAGATACCGTTCTCTATACTCCTCCAAGCTCGTTTTCGCGTGCCCTTCAGGTCGGGCCTCAGGACTTTCTACACGCTTTGTATCAGAAGATTCTGCCCTTTCTGGAGCATGATCCGATGCTGAACTCAATTCTTCGTGCGAAAACAGCAGAGGCTTTGGTGATGGCTCCTGCTCGTTTGAGTGTTGGGCTTGTTGCCAGGCTAGATGTGGAAGAAGAGAGCATCTCACAGCAAAATGACCGCGTTCATTGATCGAACTACCATTCTTATTCAGCAGCCAAAGATAAGAACGACTGACAACGATACCCGATACCGTTCTCGTAGGCGGCAGCCCATTCAGGATTCGTATCCAAAGCCGAGCTGATGCAAGCACCAAGCAGCATACCGATACAGGTTGGAATCGTGATGCCCAGAGTGGTGTATAGGAAGATCTTGATCTTGGGGGTGTTGACTGGGTAATGAACGTAAAAGTCCGAGACAATGGAGCTCCAGGATGCGCTGGAGCCGTACACCACACCGATCAAGGTCAGAGCATTTCCTGACCTGGTGAGACCGGTAACTGTAGCAGGGGCGGCTAGGTTGGCCCGATGCGCAGACTCGCCGTAGATGATCATGAAAATGATGAAGAATAGGATCCAAGCGTATTGCTCATACATCAGGACTCCCCTGAGACCGACGAAACTGAAGAGAAAACTGACACACGCAACAATGACCACGCCCACGGCAATCGACACGCGGCCATCGGAAACGGCGCTGAGGGCAAGACCGCCAGTGATGCAGTTGACAGATGCCCATCAGAGTTGCTCGATCACGTTCAACGCAGCGATAATGGATGAAGGATAGAATCCTAAAGAATATCTAGAGATCGCAACCTGGCGAAGACCAGTACCAGGGCCCATAGTCGCGCACCAGCCCTAAGGGGTAAATGTAAGCCGCTGGAAACCCAAAGGGGAAGAGCAAATCGCGCTAGGAAGATCCAGAGAAATAGGAAAAGGTATGCGAACCGTCACAGCGGCACCAAGGAACGTCGCACAGATGGTGATAGCAATGGTCTGTCCCAAAGACAATCCAAATTCTTTTCCCAAGAACCCTGTGCTAAAACAACTGATGTTGATCGTAGCAGACGCCCACATGAAAGCCATCGCCAGGGAGTTGGGAGGTTTACGATTTTCCGGAATAACCCTGTCAAGACTGTGTGATTCAATTCCCAACTTGCGATCCAGCACCTCTTCATAGTAGCGAATTCGAGAGAGCAAGCCACGCGGTTTGACTGGCTCTTGCTTTTCCACTGGGATGGAGGCTGGCTCAGGGTGAGCTTTTTCTTCTGCATTGAGACTGCGTGGATCCATGTCGAGGATATATAGGCAGCTTGGATTTGGCAGGAAGCCACAAGACAGCGTCCCACACAAGCCTTTTTCCTACCCTTTACACAGGACGGGCGTGACAACTTTTAAATCGGGGAGTGAGCTTAGCTTGGGCTGTCCCGTCAGGACGCGGAAGTCAATCTCTGCTATCTTCTCAATTTTTTTCCCCCGAAGATTGGACGACGATTTGTGGGGCTATTGGACTTCTCTCGTTGATGTTCAACCGTCAACTTCCACGAGACCACAGTCTGTGTGTCCCAGTGCCCCAGAGTTAATCCATGATCCATCAAGTCTAACCTCCAAAGTCCGAACGACCAGGATTGCACTATTCCCATTTCTCACTGTTTCGCGCCACTCGCGAGCGCGGACCTAAATCGTCGTGAGATATGATAGAGTGTTCGGATACCAAGGACAGGAATTGAGTTAATTTTGATAACAAAAGCAGCTTTTTCTGGTCTGTCTACGCAAGTAAATTGTCATCTACCTGCCTGTTCTACTTAAGCTTTTGGGTTGCACCCGGCCAGGCTTGGCCTTCGGGAGCATGTCTCCGTGGGTGCACTGAACCGACAACCCTAGCTGTGGGTCGGAGAAATCTTAAGGATGAGTAGTGAGTACCACTCCTTGAGAAGCTCGAGAAGCAAGTTGATCGTCAGTGATATTCGGTGAAAAAGCGACCTACCTTAGTATATAGAGGACAGTATTTGACACGAGCCGTACGACGCACGAGGAAGTCCCATGCATCAAGTGCAGGATTAGACCCCCTGATCGGTTTTAGTAGTCTAGGCTTTCCCGAGGCCATAACCACCTTCTAGACTGATTGCGACAGTTTAACACACGTGTCGATAGGCACTCTTTATATTCTATGCTTCCCCTTCCCGCGATCGTTGAAGCTGTCCATAGGTTATTCTGTAGGGGACGCCTTATGAACCTATTTGTGCTAGCACTTCCCGCATTAGATTAGTAGAGGGAACATGGTCCTAGTGGTAGATAAAGGTAAGTTTTGGCAAGCCGAAAGTTTCTCTTAGCATTGTAGGATGGCTTAGTGAGAGGAATTGACTGGTTTGTTGTTGCTTCAGTCCATTGGATGCAAAGTATCAATATATGTATGGAAGATTGATGCAAGCGATTACGATGTTTAACCTCTCTTGAATGTGCAGCAGCCCAAAGCCATTCGTATGGTATTAATCTATTTACTGAGATTCGAGCAGTGGATACCCATCTCTCAACACTCGGTTTTTCTCTTTTTTTCTATTTGATAACCTTATCCAGTGAACAATGAGCAGATGTTGGGCATATATATATAAGGTCCACTACAACCAATCCATTATTCTGAAGAGTAATTCTAGACCTCCATAGACTCACATAAACACAGAAGATTGCCTTAGAGCATGGAATGAGACATTCTACCTTGTTCAGTTCCTGCCATCGAAGTGAACAACACCAATGTTTTTTCGCCATCCTCTCTCTCTTGCGATTATGGTGGATGGACTTGGCAGACACGACCTCTGGGCGGAAGCCTGAGGCCAACACGTTATGTACCCGCACCGTGTTCAGTTCCCAGACACCCAATTGAGAGGGTTGATTGATGTCAGCTCATTCATACTCTGTTGAGCGAAATAAAATACTTAGAACTGAGTTAGCTCTATAGAAGTATATTTAAACAGGGGACGACATTGGATGTTCAGTACAACTGGTGGGAGGGACGAGACTCTGTCGGCTCCGCCCTCGAGCGACCCGAACAGGAATTCACCCCCGGCCTTTCCACTAGTAGAGTACTTCGGCGAATCGAGCTGTCTGTCCTCTTCCTCCTCTTCTTCTCCCCCCCAAATTATTCTGATCATCACTGTCATCATTGCCCGTCAAGCACGAGCATTGACTTCCCTTTCGTGCTCGTTCCTCCTCTCTCCTCACTCATCCTTCTTCTCTTCTCTTTCTCTTGATCACGTTTCCTCTCAATTGTCTTTTTATTTATCCTCATCCCCGCTAATTTGGTGATGCACTGTCCCTTTACCTCTTAGCCTCCACAGATCAGCAATTGGTCTCTACTCTTCTTCTCCAGACATTTTGGGTACAATATTTGGCTACCGATATCATTAGAAACTCTTTGTCAGTTTCATTTACACTTTGTTTATTAGCGGTGCTATCTTTGCTCTGGTATGCTCAATGTTCCTGTATTGGCTTCTTCCTAGACGGAGATCACATACTAATCTATGCCTCGAGAAAGGCTTACCTATTAGACTCTCTCCTTCCCTCCCATCTCGAGTACATAATTTCTCATTCTCGGTGTCAATTGACGATATTTGATGATGGCTTCTCAAGTACAGAGCAGCGATGTTAACGGTGGGGCCAAGTCCCTTGCGGCCATGCTGGAGGAGGAGCATGCCCGCAATGAGGCGCATAAGGTGACGGTGGAGGATACCGTGGACGAAGAGGATCTGCTGCATCCCCCTCCATCATTGGGAAAGGACCAGCAGACTGTTCCCGCCCAACCCGCAGCTGCAGTCGAGGAAGCAGTCGCCGCTACACCCTCGACTTCCAATGCGGCTCCTAAAAGGTCGCCTGCTTTTGATGTCCGCTCCGAGGAGCTGTTCCCCGCCTTGGGAAGTGGCCCTAAGCCCAGGGCACCTGCTGCAGCCACTTGGGGTGCCAGGCCCTCTGCCGCTGCTGCTCTTGCCAACGGTGCCGCTGGACGCCCACAAGCGAGTATGTTGTTCTGCCGCCCTTTCTGTACTGCGGCTTGCTCTAACCATTTATCGATCAGCAGCGAGCGATGTCCCTAGAATCATGAGTCTTCCCGGCAAGCACATGGAGCAGCTTCGTTTAGCGCCCTCTCAGATGATGCCGCGAGCACAGCTCAAGAAGCCTCTCAAGGATATCCTCCGCGACATCTCCAGGCGCTCAAAGGCCACTGTCGATATGCGGGGTGGCCCTGGAGGCTCGATCATCTTTGAGGGCAAAGGCTCGGTCGAGTCCGTAAGACAGGCTCTCAAGGAGGTTGCACAGCAAGTAGGATCCAAGGTAGATATCTTCTTAATTGATGTTCCTCGTTTTTCGTCAACTCACGAGAATGTAGCAATCGGTCCGCATTCCCATCCCAACATCCGCCCGCGCCCACATTATCGGCCGGCAAGGTGCAATTGTGCAAGACATTCAACAACGGACGGGTGCGCGCGTCCAAGTGCCCCGCGCCGATGACTCGGCCGCAAAGGATGACGAAGACGACAACGACACGATAGACGTCCTGATCGAGGGTGACGCCGTTGCGGCAGAGATGGCACGCCGGGAAATTGAAGCTATCGTCAAGGAGCGGGCCTCCAACATGAGCCTGCGACTCAAGTCGATTCCAGCCGAATTTTTCCCCTTCATTGCGGGTGCGCATAATGCGAACCTGAAAGCTATCGAGGAACGTACCAAGGCTCAAGTGCATGTGCCTCGGTATGATACATGGCAGAGCCAGCCTCCCCCGCAGGAGGCTGAGCCCGGACGAGTGCAGTTTGTCCCAGCTTCTGATAAGCACATTCAGATCACTGGAGAGCGCACTGCTGCACAGGAAGCTCGCGCCGAAATCGAGAGGCTTGCCGCCGATCTGCAGAGGCGACTAACCCTTCGGCAGTTGGCCATCAACCGCGGGCAGCACCAGTTCATCCTCGGGGACGGAGCCAATGCTCTTCATGACTTCCTTGCTGATACCGGCTGTGCTATTGTGCTACCACCGGCATCCGATGACAGTGAATTTCTCACTATCACTGGACCGCAGGACTGCATCGAGGCTGGTATCAATCGTGCAATGGAGCTTGCTACGAGCATGCAAATGGCCAGCATTGACTTGTCCCGTCAGCATCCCAACGCTCCTGCCGGACCTCATGCACACGCACGTGCCCTCACCCGGTACCTTCAGCAACGACAGATCATTCGGCAATTGGAGCAGATGTACGATGCTCGTATTGCACTCCCGCCTAGCGCTGACGGCCCTGTGACCTGGGAGGTTTACTCGCGGGACGGCAAGAATACTATCCGTGCACGGTCTGACATCATGAACTTGGTCCAGGCTCACCCTCCTGCAAGGCTTCGCTATGTCTCTGTCGATCCTTATTACCACCCGTATCTTGAGTCCCATGGTCTCGGCAAGCTCCGGAACGATTACGGTGTCCATCTCCTCGTTCCGGATGAGCTGGATAGCTCCGATGTTGTTCTCGTCTATGAGGGACCGTCCGCCGCCAACTCGCTGCCCGAAATCCCGCGCCAGAGGCCATCCCCGGCCGAGGTAGCTGCCTTTGAAAAGTCCCTGCAGGAAGCACAGGATTTCCTTACGCAGCTGCTGGGAGACCAGAATGATATCGTTGCTAAGTCCGTTAAGGTTCCTGCTAAGTACCAGGAGAAGGTACGCAAATTCATCGCCCGCGAACAGCAGGCAAAGGGTGATGACCAGATTCCTGTCCGTGCTCTCGTTGGAGATGCTCGTAATGATAAGTGTGACGTATCTCTGCGCGGTCCATCCCGTCAAGTGGATGAGTTGGTGTCAAAGCTGCAGGACTTCGTAGTGGGGCAGGAGAAAGATGACCTCGAAAGAGGCTACACAATCTCGTTCGACTTCCCTCAGAAGTTCGCAAACTTCCTTATTGGCAAGCGAGGCGAGAACATCAACAAACTTCGCGAGGAATTCGATGTTGACATCAAGGTTGACAACGGCAAAGTCGAAGTCAAAGGACCCAAGGCTAAAGCGGATGCTGCCAAAGCCCGCATCATCAATCTGGGAAAGAAACTGGAAGATGAGACAACTCACGTTCTGAAGATCCCCGCACAGTACCACCGCGAACTTATCGGCCAGAAGGGAAGCCAGGTCAACAGACTGCAGGACCGCTACTCTGTCCGCGTTCAATTCCCAAGGGCGGCGGTTGCAACACCTAGCTTCGACGATCAATCCGTGGCAGACACTTCTAGCGAAGTCGGCGGCTCTCGTCCTATCCGTCCCAACCAGGCCCCTGATGAAGTCATCGTCAAGGGTCCGAGCAAGGGTGCGGATGCCGCCAGAGATGAGATTTTGAGTCTGTTGCAGTGGGTCATTGACCACTCTCACTCGGCTACAGTATCTGTCGCTCAAAGTCAGATCCCATCTCTGATCGGCCAGCGTGGCCGTGAGATGGACAAGCTTCGCGCTGATACCGGGGCGCAAATCGACGTTCCGGGAGCTAATGACGCGCCCGACGCTTCGGGTCGTGTGCAGATAAAGATCAAGGGCACAAAGCAGCAGGTCGAGGAAGCAAAGAAGATTCTGCTGCAGCGTTCCAGCGAATTCGACGCTATTGTCACCAAGACGATTGATGTTGACAAGAAGCATCACAAGGCTTTGATCGGCGGTGGCGGTAAGTTTGTGATGATATAAGTATCTCGTCCATCTTAGAAGCTAACTCGATGCCCAGGTGCGAACATTCGCAAGATCGTTACCGAAGCCGGTGGTCCTTCCGACGGAAGTGCGTCGCGCATTGTCAGGTTCCCCCGGCCCGATAGCAGTGAATCCACTATCAAGTTGGAAGGAAATGGCAAGGTCGTTGAGAATATCATTGCTGCTATCGAAGCTTTCGTAAAGGAACGCGAAGACCAGGTGACGGTCACTGTCGACATTCCTCCTGCACAGCACAGACTGCTCATCGGCCGCGGAGGCGAGACCAGACGCGGTATTGAATCGCAATTTAATGTCACCCTGGACATTCCCAAACAAGGCTCTGGACGGTCCGATATCAAGCTGAAGGGCCCAAGCAACGCTGTCGAGGGTGCAAAGGAGCATATTCTTGCCATGCTGAAGGATCAGCAGGGTGAAACAGTCGAAGTTCCTCGGCATCTGCACCACGCTATTGCAGACAATGGCGCCTTTTTCCGACGCCTCCGCAATGATTACCGAGTTACTGTTGACCACGCTGGCCAGCAAGTGCCACCCAAACCGGCTTCCGAGGAGTCCCGCGCCACGACCAACGGGGCGTCATCCCTTCCATTGATCACTGATGAGCCCAGCGACTCTGTGGAGGCTCACTCTTGGAAGATTGTCGATCACAGCGCTGCCGCCCCAGACCCAACGCAACCCGCGACCATCCCATGGGTGCTTATTGGAAGTAGCGACAATGTGGCCAGAGCCAAGTCAGCCTTGGAGAAAGCCATTGCTTCTGCATCCCAGCAGACTGCGACTGGCTATCTGATTCTGCCCGATCCCAAGACATACCGTTTCGTTATTGGCCAGGGCGGAAGCCAGATCAATGCTATCCGCAAACAGACGGGATGCCGGATCAACGTGCCCAAGGACCAGGCTCGCGGTGAGGCGATTGAAATCAAGGGCAGCAAAGAGGGACTGGAGAAAGCAAAGGAGATGATCCTTGACGCCGTCCGCGCTGGCCTCAACGGCGGCTCCAGATGAGGCTCATCCTTCTTTTGCCGTCGCTTCTCGGAATGAATGTCCTATTTTGCTTGGGGACATTTATCTCCTTGGACGCCCCTACGATGGTCTTTTACGCATCTGCATTCTATAAAATTCCACTCCATGATCAGCATTGTGTCTACTTTCTATTCTTTCTTGTCCTAAATTTATCATCCTTTTTGTGTATCTTCTATTCTACATTTTTTGAGCAAAGCTGTATTCACGTACTTCTGTCTATCTGATCATCCATAGCGCACTCCACTGTTGAGAGCAGGAGTGAGCCAGTATACCACCTGTCACCACTGCAAGAGGGGGAATCTGAACTGAACCAAGACACATTCAAAAGCGGTCTATTTGACAAAGTGATATAGTAAGAGGGAGAAAAAGGGGGCAAAAAGAAACAAAAGACAGAAGCCAATCGCTCCTCTACTATATTATCCGTAGGCATAAGTATGATCATATAACGTCCGCGAAAATCTGACTTGGCTTCCCCCTAAAGAAGGGAGATACCGAAGGCAGCGAAAGTAAACAGAAATATCTGCTTTGGGTATCATCACCCAGCAATCCCTTGTGAAACAACAGAATCGCCATCAGACAGAAAAGAGAAAACAGTCACTCCGAAACTAGCATCTCTCCTGTATAAAATTTCTGGGGAGTGAAAATTTTTTGATTTGTCGTTCCAGACCTCCTTTTCCCTTGCAGACACATCTACTGCTGCTGAGAATTGGCCTGGAGGTACTGGTAGGCACCGTAAGCGACGGCAGCGCAGACAACCAGGACGGCGTACATGCCGAACCCGCTGGACGAGGAAGCAACACCTGTGGTAGCAGAGGTCGAGGGGGCAGGCTTAGCGCGGGGGGCAGGGTCGCCGGGCTAAATAGCAGAGGTGAATTAGCTCGGATCGCGCAAGTTAGTCACAGTTTAGAACGAAAAGAAACCTACCAGGCGCTTCACAGTACCGACCAGGAGACCCTCGAGGATCTCGCGGGCCTCGTCACTGTGGCCGACGTCCTCGAAGGCCTCTGTGCTGTCCTGGCCGGCTACGTCGAGGAGGACCTCCTCACCACCACTGGGGATTCCGAATCAGTTCTGAATTTGATGTCTGTATGGGGGTATGTGACGTACGGGTGCTCATCGACGAAGCTGGAGCAGTCGTAGACTTTGTCGTGGACGATGAGGTAGAGATCCTTCTTGGTGTTGTGCTCGGAGATCTCCTGCAGGGTGAATTCCTTGGAGGCGGACATTGTGAATAAATTATTCGGTTTATCTGGATTGGTGACGATTGTTAGATTTCTGAGATAGCAGTAGCGATTGAGAGGAAAGTAGATGAGAGGGGAAGAAGGAAATGCGAGCAGTCAGCAGTCAGCAATTCCGTCGGCGTACGATGTCGGACGATAAGGCCAGCGTTTTGCTTTTCAGGTACTTCTCCGACAGGGGAGTAAACACGCCTGTAAACAGAGAAAGAAAGTAGACTTACCAGGAACAGACAACGGAGAGATAGGAAAATTGACTGAAGGTTGAGGAGAGACTAGGGATCGAAGCAATGCCAAAAGACAGATAGACAGATAAGATTGAAATAGAGAAAGAGAAAATGGGGGGCGGACAGGAGGAGATTCGGTGAGGAGAAAAGAAGAATCCAATGGCGGCGGGAAGTTTAGTTGGGCGACCCCGAAAGATACTGGGGTTGGCCTGTGATTCTTCAGCTGGCTTATTCCTCAGGCACCGCTTCGTTTACTGCCGTGGATCTGATCCGGTTATTCCTCGGGCACCTTTTGAGCGATCAATAGCTGATACAACTGTGCTGTCTTATGTATTGCTCTACCACAGTAGTAGTACCTCGCTACGGAGTAGCTGACCCTTCGGAGTAAATATTCTAAAGAGGTGGTCTGATAGCGCCGGATAGACAAAGGACTCCATCTTCCGTCCGCGAATAAAAGGCCGCTTATTTCTCTTCCCCTCGATTCTTTCTGTTACTCATTTTCCGAGATCTAAGGACAGATTATATAATATTCCGTGCATTCATCTGTTCTATTTCTCAATTTCCATGGTCAAGAGTCAAGAGCTGTCGGGACTTCTATTCTAAGAACAGCGCTGACATGCACCGCAGGATAATACTTCCCAATCAGGCCATCAGCAGAACATCTCCAGGATGGATGAATACTCTGGTTGACTGAATCGGAATGGTCTTCCGCTGTCCTTATGGAGACCGGAATCCAGATCTCGCTTCCGACTCCACCTGACAGTTCTTGCCTACGCAGTACATAGACTCATACTCTCATTATCGTTGTAGCTTGTAGGTATCTCGGTCAGACAGTATGGGGCGAAAGATTCTGCCAATTTGTAGCTAACACGATGGTATTGATCACCTTAAGAATCCTGTATTCAAATGTATACATACTTATGCAGGGAGCTTAGATGCAACAGTGAGCGTCTATTCCGCTCATAATCTAGGCGATAGTAAATCATAACCGTGGCTTGATAGTCCACAGACCCGTTTAACCCAATTAATGTACAAGATTGTCACAGGCAACCCAGGAAGTTAGCCAACACTCTCTTTTCCGGGGTCAACAGCCATAACCTCGGGGATGATCGACTGCGGCAAACCTGTCGGATAGCGTGCTTAGACTTCCGTTAATTTCTGCCTGAGGATAGTCCTGGTTCCGGTGTCCGCGGAACCTATCACAGGCCAACTACCACAGGAAATGATGTATGATGAGATGAGCCAGGATCCAGAGGGGTCGTTGAATGATAAATGTACAATTGTCCTGTCAGGAACTTCTAGTGCTTTCCATTGCAACAGTATCTACCCAACTCCCTCTATATACACAGTAACATTGCTAGTGGACTCATGGACAGACATGCATGGTTAAAGAGAAAAGAAAACAGGCCAAAGTCAAAATCATCATTTATGGATCATCATCAGGTATCACGTCGTCGGCCGTCATTTCCCTGCAAATAGCGCAAAACAATCATCTCATTTCCGAAGCAAAGAATGCTCAAAGGTGTATCCGAAACCGAAAATCATCAAGATGCAAATTCATGGCAGTTTCACTTCGCCGGAACTCGCTCGTAGAATACAATATATGCCTGTTCGTTCTGCAGCCGGTCCTTGAAGCGCAGATCGCGTGGGTTAAAGTCGGTCGCCCGCTCATCGTCAAACTTGCGCCAGCATTGGCGCTGCGCATCCCGCACCAGCGATATATAATGTCCGCTCCCCATAGTCGATCCAATATGGCGTAACACCCCATACGCATCATACGTAAAAGGCCCTGTGGTCGCAGAATTCATGTCTGCAGCCCTAGCATCGGTGGCAGATCCAGGGTTCGCAGAGATGACGAAATCATCCATCCGAAGCCCATGCAGAGGAAAATCAATGGGTGTATGGATCTTCCGCGCACTTTGCGTTTTCGATGCTGAGAATCTCTTGAAGTGGATGACCAGAATCTGAGGCGCCCGAGTGATGATGATCTGTTTCGTTGCCACCCTCTCACATTTGCAATAAGGACACTTCCACACTTCATCCCCACTCAGCAGTTCCTCCTGGCAGTAACTACGCAGGCATTGATAGATGTCGCCCGTGCCGGTGGGTGGAATTTCAACACTGATACTGTAGAAAGCCTCATACGTTGTTGACGTCCGCTTGCAGGTCGTACATCGAAGTCGACTGGCGTGCTGGCCAGCAAACAGTGAGGAGATGAAGGATTCTTCCCGGTGACAGTAGCGGTCCCACTCAATCTTGGAGACCTTGGGTACAGGCATCCGCTCCCGCTGCATTTCTTCCTCGAATGTGAGCGGCCGGAGAGGAGTCCTCTGCCAGTTGATGTTGAGGTCCTCATGCAAACAGTCCACCACAAAGTCAAAAAACTCCTTGGCATCCTGTTGCCGATCGATGGCCCACTCTTGATTCAAGCGGCCGCAAAAATTGCGAAATGATGTGGGCATGATCACCTCAACATCGTTCTTCCACAGCGATCTAATCAGATTCGCAAATAGCCCAGGCATGACGCCTTGTGATCCTTTCCAATTCTTTTGAACGTAGAACCGGAATCGGTTGTCAATGAAGAACTTGCTAAGCATTACGGTCGCGCTGAGACATTGGATGGTCGAGTTCATGTAGCAAGTCACCCCGAAGTTGGTCAAACCAGTCCGTGGAAGTTTGAGGCGACTCAACATCGAACTGGGAGTATACAAAGCTGTTTTGGTCGCCGAATTCTGCCGTTCCAGGGGTGCCTGAATTTGCCGACCATCTGAGACGCCACTATAGCTCGGTCGGGGGACGGCGGGGGGAGGTCGCGATGGCGCAACGGGTACGCGAGCAGCGTAATTGGGTGTTGAGGAAGGTATCGATGGCTGAGAGTGAGGCACAACCATCGATTCCTGAATTGCATGCGGTTCCGGGAAGCGTCGCAAAAAGTCCTCGTATGTATGCACAAAAGGCGTAACCGGAGGCTCTTGCTGTTCAGAAGCATCTTCCGGTTCCTCTGTCAGCACTTCCTCCTCGATATAGGTGCTTGTGTCGATCTCCTCATTCTTCGACTTCTCCATCCATGCGGTCAATTCTTCCGGATTCAAAGGCTTATATTCGCGCAGTCTTCTTTTTCTGACTTCAAGACTGGAATTGGCACTCGCCATGGTCGGTACCCTCCCAAGAGGTCGACCCGGTCTCATCGCCGGCCTCTTGGCCTGTATGGATCCCATTACGGCAGCAGTTGTCGATGTTGCCAAAGACTGCTGTCCCAAGAGGTCAATCCATGCATCGAGTCCACCCAATAGTAACGCAGGTGGCCGTGCATCTTTTAAGGGCTTGTACGCATTAAATTCATACAATGTGTCGTGCAAGGCTCGAAGATGAGGAGCTGTTGTCCCAACAGGAGACCCCGCAAGGTAGCTGACTGAGTCTGTTTTCTGGTCATAGTACACAACGAGGTCAAACTCATTGCGCCTCTCAAACAGTGACTGTTCATGCTCAGGTGATACCACCAGCCGCTCTTCGAGTTCCTCCGCAGACACGTTCTCTTTCAATGCCACCGGTTCAATACAGATGATTGATTTGGCGTAAATATGACCTCCGTCGAATTCCTCGCGAGGTCGCACATCGATCAACAAAACGTTGTATTTGCGAAGGTACTCCAGTAAAGCTTGAGCGGTGATAGTAGTGCTATGCGGTAGATCTGCAGAGCTACTCCTGGCTTCTCTGACATGGTGGATGCCATTTGGCGTCGTAGATCGATATGGATTGTCATCAGGACCACCACGACTGGGGCTGCCACGGGGAGAGTTGGCTAATTGTGAGTATCGCGGATTGACAGGGCGGGAGCTTTCGGTAGATGTTCTCGGCGGATTTGATGGAAGTTGAGAAGGCACTGTCCATATCGGACTATACGCTGGATCAGGGGCCCGAGGAAGAGAGGTATTAAGCGGTATCTTTGGAGGCGGATTCGGTACGTCGTGGCTGGTCCCCATGTTACGGGGCCCTAGAGGGCGCCTAGAGGGTGAGCTCAAGTTTGAGCTGGATTGTGAACCTTGCTGTATGTAAGAGGACGGACGAGGAGGATAGTCGTTAAGGTATTTAGGCGGCGAAGACGTTGTAGTTGCACCATTTTGTCCATTATTCGGATGATTGTGACCATTGACAGGATATGGTGATGCTCTTAGTTTAGCGAAGCGTTGGGCAAGTAGGTCCTCGGCAGGGGCCGAATACCTGTTCGGCTTCGGTCGTGTGTCAGGCGCTCTTTGGAATTCCGAAGGACTCGGCATCCGTACTGAACTCTCGCCTGCCTCATTCTGACGGCCTCTAGAAGCTGCACCCTGAGACGTTGCCGCGGCGGTTCCCTGACATCCTGGTGTGGTGAAGCGGGATGGTCCCAGCGGTTGGATATTGCTAGCCAAATTATCCTCCAAAATCTGTTGTTTGATATCGTCCATCGTCCCTTGCTTCGTCCGCACAGCCTATGAATTTGTCAGCTCACCAATCTACTACTCCTCGAAAACCCCAATTTCGTGGGCGTGTTCACTCATAAGCTATGAACACCCTCTCAGGGCTGGAAAAGCATACCATCATAAGACTCGCAAATTGCTTGTACCATGCCGGACTCTGGCTGACGGTAACGCGGTAGTCAGGGTGGTGCGGTATGATGTTGATAGTGATCTCAGATGCACGCAGGTATTGCACATAAGCTTTGTCCAATTCTTCGGTATCAGCGTACTCTCTAGCTAGCTCGATCGCCTCCTGTGCCCGTCCGAG